CATAAATGTTGCGCTCAATGACTACTTGTCACTGGGTTTCAAGTATATCTCATAACTCATAACTTAAAGGACTACCGTAGAAACCTGTGCTCTTTAAAACATAGTGGAAAGAAGGTTTCTGTGGATTTCCTAAGAGGCTCAGTCCATTCTTAAATTCTGCACTCCTTTAATTGCAGGTATTGTATTACATCCAGTTTTAGTCACCACACTATAAAAAGGATGCTGAGACTCTAGAAAGAGTGCCGAGAAGAGCAACCAGGATGATTAGGGGACTGGAGGCTAAAACATACTCTGAACAGTTTCAGGAACTGGGCATGGCTAGTCTAGTACAGAGAAGGACCAGGAGAGACAGGATAGCAGTCTTCCAATATTTGAAGGGCTGCCACAGAGAGGAGGAAAGGGGTCAAGCTATTTTCCAAAGCGCCTGTAGGCCAGACAAGGAATAATGGATGGAAACTGACCAAGGAGAGATTCAACCCTAGAAATAAGGAGAAATTTTCTCACTGTGAGAACAATTAGCTAGTGGAACAGAAGTTGCCTTCAGAAGTTGTGGAAGTTTCATCGTTGGAAGCTTTCAAGAAGAGATTGGACTGCCATCTGTCAGAAATGGTGTAGGGTCTCCCGCTTGGGCAGGAGGTTGGACTAGATGACCTGCAAGGCCCCTTCCAACTCTTTTAATTTGTATTCACACAACTAAGGTGTCTTTACAGATTAGCCACAGCTAATAGAACTAAAGAACTTGATGCTGGTTTGAATTCTCTGCCCAGGTTCTTCCGATCAGCTCCTGAGCCCTGACTGTTGGAAAGCATCTCTTAAAGCTTTGGGCTGCCCGACATCCACTGTAGCAAAAGAAAACGGTAGGAAGCAGGTGGCTAACCTGAGCACCCCAATGCAGCCTCCAGTGGAGCCAATTTTATCACCTGAACAGGTGAGCAATCCCTGTGTACTGGTTCTGTTACAATGCTTGAAGAATCACCTTAGACCAGGGGTGTCAAATCTGATTTCATTGAGGGCCGCATCAGGGTTGTGTTTGACCTTGGGAGGGTGGGGTGGTGGTGGACATGGCCAGGGTGGGCGTGGCTAGCTTGACCTCACATGTGGAGGCCCAAGCGCCCTGCCAGTGAAAACGGGCTCCTGAGCTCCGTTTTCAACTGTGGTGGCCTTGTGCAACCCTCTGCCGGCGTAAACAGAGCTCGCTAGGGCCGCCCATGGCCTTCCCGAGCTCTGTTTTTGCTGGCAGAGGCACCGCAGGCTGGTCCTTCACCATTTCCGGGGCAGCCTGACAGGCCAGATCTAAGCATCCCGTGGGTTGGATGCAGCCCACAGGCCTTGAGTGTCAGCTTTGGAGGCCATACTGAGATCCGATGCTCCCACGCTGCCACCATAGAGCCTGGGAAAGTGGGATGGGGGGAATTAATTGGAGCTTGTGTTTATTTTCATAGTCATAAATTGTACACTGAAGATGGTATTTAATTTCATTGTATGAGGTACAATGACAAAAAAAGTAAAGTAGAGTAAAAGTAAAAGTAACAAAGTAAAAGTAACAAAGTAAAAGTAACAGTAACAGTAACATAAAAGTAAAAGTAAAAAAGTAAAGTAAAGTAAAAGTAAAGTAAAAGTAAAGTAAAAGTAAAGTAAAA